TGCGGGTGCAAGTCAATTCTGAGTCGACTCAAAAGAAAAACCCTCCCTCCCCCCCCCCTCTCCCTCCTCCCCCCCCAGATCGCCAACTACCTAAACAAGGCCGTGCAAGCAGCAGGGCTCCCTCCCTTGCGCATGCTGGTGCAATTCCGTTCTAAGTCAGCTCAAAACACAACCCCTCCCACCCACACCCCTTCCCCCTCCTTTCCCTCAGATCGCCAACTACCTAAACAAGGCCGTGCAAGCAGCAGGACGGCCTCCCCTGCGTGTTTTGGTGCAAGTCAACACGAGTGGCGAGGAGAGTGAGTGGAGGGGGGGGTGAGAGGAAGGGGGAATATGGGGCACGTGCGTTCCTTGCGTGTGCTGGTGCAAGTCAACACGAGTGACGTGGCGAGAGGAGAGTGAGTGGAAGGGGGGAATAGAAAAATGGGGAATGTGTGTTTTCTTTCTCGGAGAGTGCTGGTGCAAGTCAACACGAGTGGAGAGGAGAATGAGCACTGGGGAAAGGTATGGGCATGAATAGAAGGCAAGGAGAGTTAGCGAGGGGGCGGAGAGGGAACGAGCGGGGAGAATCACGGGTATTTGTGTTTTTTCAGCTTTTGGAAGTGCTCTGTTGCAAGTCAACATGAACGGAGCACCTGCCTTGGTGTTCCAAGACCTCCTTCTCATCCATTGGCGTATGTGGAGTGGACCTGGTATGACATGTCACATCATGTGTGTGGACATGTGTGGAGTGGACCTGGTACGACATGTCACATCATGTGTGTGGACATGTGGGGAGTGGACCTGGTACGACATGTCACCTCATGTGTGTGGACATGTGTGGAGTGGACCTGGTACGACATGTCACCTCATGTGTGTGGACATGTGTGGAGTGGACCTGGTACGACATGTCACATCATGTGTGTGGACATGTGTGGAGTGGACCTGGTACGACATGTCACCTCATGTGTGTGGGCATGTGTGGAGTGGACCTGGTACGACATGTCACATCATGTGTGTGGACATGTGTGGAGTGGATCTGGTACGACATGTCACATCATGTGTGTGGACATGTGTGGAGTGGACCTGGTACGACATGTCACATCATGTGTGTGGACATGTGTGGAGTGGACCTGGTACGACATGTCACATCATGTGTGTGGACATGTGTGGAGTGGACCTGGTACGACATGTCACATCATGTGTGTGGACATGTGTGGAGTGGACCTGGTACGACATGTCACATCATGTGTGTGGACATGTGTGGAGTGGACCTGGTACGACATGTCACATCATGTGTGTGGACATGTGTGGAGTGGACCTGGTACGACATGTCACCTCATTGTGCCCCAAAAATCTTTTCCTCGTCACCATCTTCCCACCTTACCCCCTTTCCCCCTTAACCCCCTTTCTACCAGGCAAGCACGGGGTGTATCCATCAGCGTATGTGAACCTGGTACGGCATGTCATAACGAAGTGTCCCAACCCAACCCCTTTCCCCCCTCACCCTCTTCCCCCTTAACCCCATTTCCATCCCACCAGGAAAGCAAGGCATGCATCCATCAGCGTGTGTGGACCTGGTACAGCACGTCACGTCGGAGCGTCCCAACCCCTTTCCCTCCTTCCCTCTTTTCCTTTACCTCCTTTCCCCAGTATCCTCTTCCCACCTACCTACCTCCTTTCCATCCGGCAAGCAAGGCATGCATCCATCAGCGTGTGTGGACCTGGTACGGCACGTCACATCAACCCCTTTACTTTCCCACGTGCCCCTCTTGCGTGTGTGTTGCTGCAGGCAAGCATGGCATGCATCCATCACCCTGTGTGGAGCTGATGCGGCACGTCTAACCCCTTACCCCGCGCCCCTCTTGCGTGTGTGCTGCTGCAGGCAAGCACGGCGTGCACCCATCAGCATGTGTCGACTTGGTGCGGCACGTCACATCGGAGTGTCCCAACCTCACATTCTCAGGCCTCATGACCATCGCCATGCCCGACTGCTCCTCCCTCTGTTGTTGCAGGCAAGCACAGGGTGCATCCATCACCCTGTGTGGAGCTGTCTTTTGAGGCGCCTCAAAAGACACCTCAAGCACGGGGTACATCCATCACCCTGTGTGGACCTGGTGCGGCACGTCTAACCCCTTACCCCGCGCCACTCTTGCGTGTGTGTTGCTGCAGGCAAGCATGGCGTGCACCCATCAGCGTGTGTCGACCTGGTGCGGCACGTCACATCCGAGTGTTTCAACCCCTTTTCTTTCCCCCGTGCCACTCTTGCGTGTGTGTTGCTGCAGGCAAGCACGGGGTGCATCCATCAGCGTGTGTGGACCTGGTCCGGCACGTCACATCCGAGTGTCCCAACCTCTGCTTCGCAGGCCTCATGACCATCGGCATGCCCGACTACTCCTCCCGCCCCGAAAACTTTGAGGTGTGAGCGCTCCTCCTACCCTCCTCTTACCCTCCTCTTACCCTCCTCCTACCCTCCTCTTACCCTCCTCTTACCCTCCTCCTACCCTCCTCTTACCCTCCTCTTACCCTCCTCTTACCCTCCTCCTACCCTCCTCCTACCCTCCTCTTACCCTCCTCTTACCCTCCTCCTACCCTCCTCTTACCCTCCTCTTACCCTCCTCTTACCCTCCTCCTACCCTCCTCCTACCCTCCTCTTACCCTCCTCCTACCCTCCTCCTACCCTCCTCTTACCCTCCTCTTGCCATCAGCATGCCCATCCGCATGACATTCGGCATGCCCGACTACTCCTCCCGCCCCGAAAACTTTGAGGTGCAACTCCCTTGCCCTTCCACTCCTTTCCTCTCCGTCCCCGCATTCTCTTGCTCCTCCCCACCCCGAAAAGAATTTGAGGTCTATTGTTTGTTCATTGCCTGCTCCCGCCGTTCCTTGCTCCTCCCGGCACCATCGAATGTGTGAATTTCGAGCCTTTATCCCATCGTGGTTCTTACCGCTTTTATAAGTTGCTTGATTTGCAGAGAGTCGCTTTCTGCCCTTCACCACTTCACTATCCCTCTGTTGCATGTTCCCTCATCCACCAATAGGCGCTTGCCAGGTGTCGAGCGGAGGTGTGTGAGCAGCTAGGGCTCACCCCAAGCGAGTTGGAGCTATCAATGGGCATGTCTAACGACTTTGAGCAGGCGGTGAGTTGAGCAGGCTGTGAGTTGAGGATTGAGGGCGTATCCAAGCAAGGACCCATCAATACAAGTGAATTGAGTTGGAGCTATCGATGGGCATGTCTAACGACTTTGAGCAGGCGGTGAGTTGAGCAGGCGGTGAGTTGAGCAGGCGGTGAGTTGAGCAGGCGGTGAGTTGAGCAGGCGGTGAGTTGAGCAGGCGGTGAGTTGAGCAGGCGGTGAGTTGAGCAGGCGGTGAGTTGAGCAGGCGGTGAGTTGAGCAGGCGGTGAGTTGAGCAGGCGGTGAGTTGAGCAGGCGGTGAGTTGAGCAGGCGGTGAGTTGAGCAGGCGGTGAGTTGAGCAGGCGGTGAGTTGAGCAGGCGGTGAGTTGAGCAGGCGGTGAGTTGAGCAGGCGGTGAGTTGAGCAGGCGGTGAGTTGAGCAGGCGGTGAGTTGAGCAGGCGGTGAGTTGAGCAGGCGGTGAGTTGAGCAGGCGGTGAGTTGAGCAGGCGGTGAGTTGAGCAGGCGGTGAGTTGAGCAGGCGGTGAGTTGAGCAGGCGGTGAGTTGAGCAGGCGGTGAGTTGAGCAGGCGGTGAGTTGAGCAGGCGGTGAGTTGAGCAGGCGGTGAGTTGAGCAGGCGGTGAGTTGAGCAGGCGGTGAGTTGAGCAGGCGGTGAGTTGAGCAGGCGGTGAGTTGAGCAGGCGGTGAGTTGAGCAGGCGGTGAGTTGAGCAGGCGGTGAGTTGAGCAGGCGGTGAGTTGAGCAGGCGGTGAGTTGAGCAGGCGGTGAGTTGAGCAGGCGGTGAGTTGAGCAGGCGGTGAGTTGAGCAGGCGGTGAGTTGAGCAGGCGGTGAGTTGAGCAGGCGGTGAGTTGAGCAGGCGGTGAGTTGAGCAGGCGGTGAGTTGAGCAGGCGGTGAGTTGAGCAGGCGGTGAGTTGAGCAGGCGGTGAGTTGAGCAGGCGGTGAGTTGAGCAGGCGGTGAGTTGAGCAGGCGGTGAGTTGAGCAGGCGGTGAGTTGAGCAGGCGGTGAGTTGAGCAGGCGGTGAGTTGAGCAGGCGGTGAGTTGAGCAGGCGGTGAGTTGAGCAGGCGGTGAGTTGAGCAGGCGGTGAGTTGAGCAGGCGGTGAGTTGAGCAGGCGGTGAGTTGAGCAGGCGGTGAGTTGAGCAGGCGGTGAGTTGAGCAGGCGGTGAGTTGAGCAGGCGGTGAGTTGAGCAGGCGGTGAGTTGAGCAGGCGGTGAGTTGAGCAGGCGGTGAGTTGAGCAGGCGGTGAGTAATGCTGCTGGCATGCTGGTGGCATGCTGGTGGCATGCTGGTGGCATGTGTTGGAGCTATCCATGGGCATGGCAAACGACTTTGAGCAGGCGGTGGGTGGATGGTTGAGGCTGACAGCCTCTTTTCAAGCTTGGAAAGTGCGAGTGTAAGCCGCTCGCTCAGTGTGTCACCCTGGCCGAGTTGGAACAAGAGCGGCTCGCATTGAGGCTGCAACTGAACAAAGGCATGTCTGTCAGGATTGAACAAGAGTGCCTTGCATGGAGTTATGCATGGGCATGTTGAATGACTTTGAGCAGGCGGTGACTTGAGCATGGAGCTATCCATGGGCATGATGGATATGGGTTTAAGGTTTTGTATCTGACCTTCTTTCCCATGTGCCCCATGCCTGGCAGGTGGAGATGGGTAGCACCAACGTGCGAGTGGGGTCCACCATACATGCCATACCCGTCCTTTTAGGAACCATACCTTACACCCAACCCTCTCTCACACATGTGCCCTATGCATTGCAGGTGGAGATGGGCAGCACGAACGTGCGAGTGGGGTCCACCATATTTGGCGCACGCGACTACTCCAAGTCATGACCTCGCCCTGCACTACTGAACGCTCGAAACCACTCCAAACCACTCCCAAGTCGTGAACGGAACCCCTCAAGTTCTAATTGCAGAGCATAGGACTGCAGAACCCAATGGCAATCAGTTGGGTGTCATTCCTTTAAGAAGTGTTGGATGGATTTCACGGGCCCAAATCAAGTTGAAAACACCAAGGATGGTGGTGGGGACGTTGGAGATGAGGTCATGAGAGGGAGATGCAACAGGCACGTGAGGCTCATAATTTATGGATCTTTCATTGGGACTGAGACTGGATGTGGTGGTACAGGAATGCATGCTACATGATGCATTACATGATCGGGTGGGTGTTCCCCATAAGTAAACTTCAGTACAGAAAATGAAAAGTCGACTGGATCAGGTAGTTGATGTGGAAATAAATCGCTGATTAGATATGATGTAATGTTATCATTAGTGATATGAGCCACTGTACGATTTCATCTTCGTCCGCACCCTCTAGCGGTAAACAGAGAGGAGAAATTGGCAGAGTTGATAAACACGCACGATCTGGGAATCTGGAACTCTGCCGTACGGAGCGCGACCGTATGAGAGGCAAGGGTTGTGATGTGACGGCTGGTGCGGGGCTGGTGCGTGAGTCAGCGACGAAAGTGGGCACCGAATCCATGCTGTTCTTGATGCAAATGGTTTTAGATCGGTTATATGGGAGTGATAGTTGGGTTTGGCGGTGGTTGGGTGTGCCTGCCGATCTGACAAACTTGCACCGCAGAAATATTCCTCCTATTTGGCAAGATTCCATTGGGGACACCCTTCAGTGATCCATCAAAGTCGAATCGCACATACAGTGTGCAGCATTTCGATTTGCCATTAGCGAACAATCTCATTCCGATTCGTAAACCTCTGTAACGAACCGTGCGCAGAAACGGCAACCTGAAGGCGATATCATTGTTTTCGTACAGGATTCGCATAAATCTCTGTAACCAGTGAGTGGCACCCCCAACGAAAAGAGATTCGAACCATTCGTCTTTTCACGGTTCGTAAGTCCGAAGCGCGCAATTCAAAATGTGAGAAGCATAAATTCACCCACTGTGATTCACACCATATCTCACTCAATTCCTTCTCGTCACCCAACGAGCTCCGATCAAACCCAGAATCCCCCTTGCTAGTCTCTTCTCGGCACCATGGCCCGCTCCCTTCACACCCTCGCAGTGGTTCTCCTGATCGTAGCGTTCTCGTCGAATGCTTTCGCTAGCTTTATGGGCGGAGCATCGACCTTCGCTGGGGTAAGCCTACTTAAAACCGGTCCTTTCCCCCTCACATTGCACACCGCCTCGCTCAGCCAGCACCGATTCCGTCTCGTGAGTGCATACCGGCGAATGCGGCACACGACCACATCCTCCTCTGACCCCTCTCTTGTTCGCGTTTTCGTATAATTCTCTTCTTACAGGCCGGCAAGGGACTGACCGATGCGTACAACAAAGGCAAGAAGCCCGCGCAGCAGCTCGTTCCGTACGAGCCGGTGGGATCCGGCGCCGGAATCACCGGCTTCAACGGCGGAACCTACCAGATCGCCATTTCCGACGACCCCATGACCTCCACGCAGGAGGCTAGCGCTCCCCCGAAGATCACCGTGCCGCTCTGCGTGTCCACCTTCAGCTTCTTCGTGAACGGCGCCAAGGGCGTCGTGCTGACGGCGGCGCAGACGTATTCGATCTACAAGGGTGATATCACCGCCTGGTCCGCCGTGCCCGGCGCTAAGGGCAAGGTCGCGGGTGCCATCACCCGCGTGGCGCGCAGCGACAAGTCGGGATCCACGGCGATTGTGAAGACTCTGTGGAGCAAGGCTCTCGGCGCCACGTACACCGAGAACACGGACGGCACTGCGATGACCTACGCCGGCCTCACTAAGGCGGACGGCACTAGCGGCATGTGCACTGCGATCGCCTCCACCAAGGGCGCCATTGGCTACGCGTTCACCGGCGCGTGTGCCGCGAAGTTCGTCGCATCTCTGAAGAACGCCAACGGAGTGGCCGTCGCCCCTCCTGCCTGGAATCCCGCCCTGGCCATCCCCGCCGCCCCTCCCGCCGCACCCGACGCGTCGTGGGCGAGCGTTGACTTCGTGTGGAAGGCCGGCGCCAAGACCCCTCCGATGGTGTCCATGGAGTTTGCCTTCATCAAGAAGACGCCCACGAGCCCGGTCGCAAAGACCTTCATGTTGTATATGATTAAGTCTCTGGCGGCCAAGGGTGGGTACGGGTTCAACCCCACTCCCAAGGCCTGGCTCGTTCCTTCCGCGACCATGGTGAATGCGATCAAGTAAAATTTCCTTGCTAGCTATATGAAGCTGTTGCATCGTTGGGCATGCATTATCAGCGGTTTTGTTATTTCAGAGGCGTCATGTTTTGTCAACTATTTTGAGAGGAAATGGCTCCTGGTCATGAGTAGCTAGGCATGACAGATGCATAGTGGAGCATGCGATCAGCGGGTTGGCGGATGCATAGTCGAGCAATTCCATTGAGACGCCTCAAAACACTTCTTACACGTAGCTAGACATGACGGATGCATAGTCGAGCATTGGTGATCAGCGGTTCTACTTAAGGCATCTCTGAGCCGTCAAGTGATATCCTTGTTTATGTGGTTCAACAATAGTATTCCATTTCTGTTGTGATGGCGAGCCACAGCTAAAAGGTCTATACAGCCACAGCCAGAGTTGACATGCAGATACCGGTAATAGAATCGGACCAAACGTACTCACACAAGTTTTTATCCGTGGGACCAAATACAAGGGGTAGGCATATATTTGGGTCAGTCTTATGACAGGTTTTGATGGGTATGACTCGATCCAGGCACAGTCACGGCATGGGGAGGTGGAGCGTGGGGTTGGAGAGGGCGAGCAGGGAGGAAGCGAGCGCCACCACTTGCACTGAGGGGTTCAGCGTGGCATGCCTCATGGCTGTTGCTGCCGCCCACACCTGCTGCTCGTGCCTGCTGGGGCGGATGACATGAGACAGAAAGGAAGGGAGTACAAGCAACAGTGTGGGATGCCTTATGGCCGCTGCTGCTGCTGCTGCCCACACCTGGTGCTCGTGCCTGGTGGGGCGGGATAGGAAGGGAGAGATGATACGTCGTTGTCATGAGACATACACACAGGGATAAGGCATAGACATACACACAGGGATAAGGCATAGACATATACACAGGCATAGACATACACACAGGGATAAGGCATAGACATACATACAGGGATAAGGCATAGACACACACAGGGATAAGGCATAGACATATACACAGGGATAAGGCATAGACATAGACACAGGGATAAGGCATAGACATACATACAGGGATAAGGCATGGACACACACACAGGGTTAAGGCATAGACATAGACACAGGGATAAGGCATAGACATACATACAGGGATAAGGCATAGACACACACACAGGGATAAGGCATAGAGATACACACAGGGATAAGGCATAGACATATACACAGGGATAAGGCACGGGAGAGGATAGATACTGAGACTGATGTAGAATCATAGTCACCTCGTTAGACATACACACAGGGATAAGGCACGTGAGAAGATACAGAGACCGAGGCAGGATGGAATCTATTATAGGTGTCGCATGGCTGTTGTTTCTCTGCTGCTTCTGCTGCCCCTGCTGCTGCTGCTGCCCCTGCTGCTGATGACACCTGTTTCCGTGACTGCTACAGGAATGGCAACAGACACAGGGGCATGGGAGCTAAGGAACAGGGGACGGCACAGCCACCTGGTGGACGGCACAGCCACCTGGTGGACGGCACAGCCACCTGGTGGACGGCACGGCACAGCCACCTGGAAAGGGTGAGCGCATGGAGTTCAGCGCACACATCGCAAGTGGGCTATAGGTGGGTGCACCCAGGGCTATAGCCACGGAGTGACCTTTGAGGCAGTTTCCCCATCCTCCCCGCTCACCGCTTATCGCAGCGCAGCACAGCGACGGAGTGGGCCCACAGAGGTCGCAATGGAGCAGGGAGTCCCGTGGCAATCACTCTAACGCCTCCCTCTCAGACCTCCCCTCCAGGCCCACCGCTTGTGGAAGCACAGCACAGCCACCGGGTGACCTTTGAATCGTTCACGAGGCAAAAGTCATCACTGCTCACCGCTTGGCGCAGCGCAGCACAGCGAAGGCGCACCACCGCTCACCGTTTATAGCAGCGCAGCACAGCGACGGAGTGGGGTCCACAGGGGGCGCAGGAGAGCAGCAGCAGAGACGCCTGGATGCTGCCTGCCCCAACCGACCCAAACAGAGCCACCAGCGAGTCTCCCAGCAGCCGCTCCAACACCTCCCTCTGCACTCCCCTCTGCTCGCCCCTCTGCTCGCCTTACTGCTCGCCTCCCTGCACGCCTTTCTGCTGCCCCTTTTGCTCCCCTTTTCCCTGCTGCTGTTGGCGGCTCACATTTACAGATCTGAGGCAGAACGAAAACAAATAAGAAAACGCGTGCAAATGATTATCAAGACGCCTCAGAAAGCGGTTCACGTTCGCAGAGCCGCTGAGGCAGAACACAAAGAGTTTTGAGTCGTTTCCATCGCTCATCCTCTCTCCCCTCTCTCCCCTCTCTCCCCTCTCTCCCCTCTCTCCCTCTCAACCCACTTACAGCCCCTCGCTCCTTTCCCTCTGCAGCTATCTCCCCGTCACTCCCTCTCCCTCTCTCCCTCTCGCTTCACTCCTTCCCCTCTCCCCTTCCCTCCCTCTCGCCCTCTCCCCTTCACTCCACTCATATGGTAACCCGCAGGTAAACAAGCCCTCTCGCTCACATGGTAATGCGCAGGTAGCTATGGGGCGATGGCAGGCTGTACGTCGTCTGCTGGACCGCCCTCGTTTCCATGCCCCCTGATGCACCGTCCCCTGATGTCCCTCCTCTGATGCACAGTCCCCGGATACACCGTCCCCGGATACACCGTCCCCGGATACACCGTCCCCGGATACACCGTCCCCGGATACACCGTCCCCGGATGCACCTACACTCTCTACTTCGAACTTGATTCCACCTCACAACCCCCCCTCCTCCTCCCTAGCCCCCTTTCCGCTTCGCTGACCTTTTATCTCTTCCCTTCACTTCCCTCTTCTTCTTTTTTCTTCGTAACCTAAACATAAGCTGATTAAGCAAACCTAATCTGAAGACAACGCTTGCAACCTCCTCCTCGGCACTTCTCTCCGCGGGCCTTTTTTGGAGAATTCTCAAAAATCGCTCATAAGCTAACTAAGCTAGTAACCTAATCTGAATTCAGACAACGCTTGCAACCTCCTCCTCGGCAGTTCTCTCCCCGGGCCTACATGATATCCTTGAAATCAGAAGCGCGCGCTCGCCACATGCTCTTCGAACCTATACAAAACCGGGTTGAATTCCTGAATTCATGTCCGTTGGACAACGGCCTGGTGAATTCGGTATGGGGCAGTCGAAAGGGTCGTCTCGTCGCACTCAGGTTCGAGGATCTTTAGCACGAAGCCTGTGTCGCAAGCCTCGCCGTTGACGCAGAGTTATCACAGTGTCGATAAACCATCTAGCCGTTGTGACGTGGAAAGTATATGACAGGGTGAGATAGACTGCCGAGGACTGTCGTAGTCTTTGCTAAAATGGCCTGAATCCACTATTTTCTTGTGCGGTTTCTGGTTCAACGAGCGCACGACAATTTGCGAAGTTGGTTGACTGCGTCGATGGTAAGGCCGCAGCCTTTCGCCAGTCACCTCGCACACGCAAATCTACGTCAGCGAAGATTGGTCAACGAACCAATCTGACTAGTCCGTTTCGCTTGTGTCATTGGGGTTTGTGCGAATCCAAACTTCCTCACGACAATCGTCCGTTACGAGTCAGATTTCATGAGAGGTCGCTGACAATTTGTCTCTCAGGGCGTTTCACCTTGGGGCTGGAAGGCTGAACTCCGAACATACACCTGATGCTCGTTAGAGCCTCTCCCAGCTGCCTTGTGAAGGGGGTCTGTAAGCTAAAAATTCATTTCGCGTAAATTCGTAACTTTCGTTAGGCTTTATGCGTGCGTCAAACCTGCACATGGTAACCCCCTTATTTGTCCGATCTGCAACAGTGATGGTTGGCCATATTTGTCCCTTATGTGTGTTACAGGTAACTCGACGAATGTGAGAACAATGAAACAACGAGCCCCATCAAATGTTCCTCTTAGTTCAAAACAACCAAAACACCAATCACAACCAATCAGCTTCTCCCATATGGCCCCCAGCTCCAACACACACAAACATTGAAACACGCACAAATGGGCACAAGGATTGAACACTTCTGCCCAGCAAGGTGCCTTCGACGCCTTGCATGGTGTGACACTCCATACTCCTCGCAGAGTATGGAGCCGAATCCCCACTCGAGCTGACAGCTCCTGCCACTGCCGTTGCACCTCCTTCCTATTCCGCCGTTCTTGAAGCAGCTTCACCCTCGCGCGCTTTTTGGCCCCACTGACGCATTGTCGAGTTAACACTTAGTCGAGCTGCAACAATGTCGTCTTCCATTATCATCCACGGAGACTGACAGGAAACACGGAGATGACGGAAATCACTGACACGAAGACGCAAGTCGTGAATGCGAGGCAGGAAATGAATCAGGGAGCTAACACCAGCATATACTGCCATTCCACTGCGGTACGCCCCACAAACTATATCTTCGAGTACTATTTTCTTCGTTCTACGGAGTGCGTCTCACTACGGTTTAGAAGCAGCGGCCGAAAGCCTCGGGGTAGGCTATGTCGACGGTCGTCCGCACCCACACCTGCTCACCGCCCTTGCAACGGCCACGGCGCACCTGCGACAAGAGGATCATGTTAGGAAAAGTGATGATTTGGATTGCGGAAAATCGCATCGCGCGTTTCCCGTTTGGAACGGACGAGTGGCTCGACGGGTCGAGCTATATTTCTGTAGCGTTCTGAAATGGGACGAGCCGATGAGACTGTCGTGTAAAACTCGTCAGAAAGGAAAAACGAGCCGTTGGTGACAGCGACTCGGCATCGCGGGTGGGCTCTTTCATTAGCAATGGCGCGTCTGATTTGTCGACCCACCGCAGCGTAAGCTTCGGGTTAACCATTTGAGAAATGCAGGAAAAAAAAAGAAGGAACTTGATCGAGAGAGGTCGAATCTTCGAGTTGCGTGGATGCTTTTAGTAGCTACGAACCAACGCCCTATCTGACTAATTTATCGCAAATCGTGCCAGTCACGACGATGGAAACGGGGCATCGTGAGAGGCGCGGGTGTTTGAGAACGATGCTCTTGTGATTTCGTTGTTCTGATTTTAAACTTAGATGGCGGGCGTGCTGTGTCACTCGAGGGGCCCATTCTGTGTGGCTCGTCCTATTCGTGTGGCCGTTGTCAGTTCCATGCACCTGTCTTGAAAAATCGCATCGTGTGGTTGGGTAACCACACGATGGAATGTCTGACGTGGGGTCGGCGAACAACGCCTGGCTGATAATAAGCTTGTACCCCACAGGTGCAGACTACACGTGGCACTGTGAATCTGCCCAAGTGTTTGTTACACTCACGATGAACCTCGCTGAGGTGGCGGGGTAGTCGGGCGAATGCGATCACGAAACCACTCACGTTTCGTCCTTGCTTTTCGCCTGCCTGACTTGTGGCCTAAAAACAAGGCAAACCAGGGTCGGTCTGCCTTGTTCGGGACTGCACGTGCGTTGGTGGCCGCAGCGCGTGTACTGTTGCCAGCCACCCATGTGCTTGTACTGTGGGAGCAGCAAGCAGGGGTTTCGACCTCGGGGGCAGCGTGTCCATCCGGCGCAGGGCAAATTCGCGTGCACTGGTCGGGCATCATGTGTACAAAACGAATGATCTAAACGAACAGTTTCCCGACAAGATCCGAACACAAATTTGAGCACCCTGGTGAATGTGACAGGTCGTCACCAGGGGTGACAGCCTGTTCGAACAAGCGACGTCGCCAAGTATTGGGCGAATTCACGAAGCATCGCAGGAAAATAATTGAATCGCATGCCATTGTCAGAGGTCCACGGTTGATCCTAGGGAAGGGTTACAGGCACGGCGGCCTGGGGGGTTATGGGCGCACTCACCCGCTACACAAACAAGCCCTTTTATCCCAGTGGTTAGTGGCTGGGATTCTGACATGGTATTCAGAGCAGGAGGTCCCTAGGACCTACCGACCGTTTTTTTTTTAAGGGCCCACCACCGCTCGCATGCGGTTACCACGCTACCCCGTGCCCTAGCCTCGTAGCGCCCTCGTGCGCCCTCGTTAGCGCCCTCGCGCGCCCCTCGTTAGCGCCCTCGCGCGCACCCTCGTTAGCGCCCTCGCGCGCCCCTCGTTAGCGCCCTCGCGCGCCCCTTGCTAGCGCCCTCGCGCGCCCCTCACTAGCGCCCTCGCGCGCCCCTCGCAGTGTCGCCCGCCCGCCGAGCCGCCCGCTTCGCAGCCCGCTCGCCCCGCTGCCCGCTTCGCAGCCCGCCCGCCCGCTCGCTGCCCGCTTCGCGGCCCGCCCGCCTCGCAGCCCGCTCGCTCGCTGCCCGCTTCGCGGCCCGCCCACTTCGCAGCCCGCCCGCCCGCTCGCTGCCCGCTTCGCGGCCCACCAGCTTCGCAGCCCGCTCGCCCCGCTGCCCGCTTCGCAGCCCGCCCGCCCGCTCGCTGCCCGCTTCGCGGCCCGCCCGCTTCGGTGGCGCTGCTGCTGGTGCTGGGGACCCGGACGTTGGAGCTCCTGCTGGTCCTGAGGACCCGGCCGCTGGAGTCTCTTCTGTTTCTGGAGACGCTGCGCGGCCGCGACCGTACTTCGTACCGCTCCTTCAGCAGGTTCTTGGACAGGCTCCTCCTCCTTGTCCTCCTCCCTCCGTAGAGTGTCCTCCGCCTGTCCAGCCGCAGTCACGGTTACCGCCTGCCTCGCCTCTCCCTGCTCCCTCTCCTTACGCTGGTCCCACAGGAGGTCTTACAGAGCGTCGTGAGCCTGAGTCTCGTCCTGCGTCGCCTGTTCGTCCTGCTCGCACTGGTAGTCGTGTCCGTCGTGAGCGTCCTCCTCCTGTCCCAGGCACTCACTACATGACTCTGCGTCCCTCTACTGCTCCTCGGCGTGTCCCTCTACCGTCTCCTCCTGCGTCCTCTTTGCCTACCGTTCCGGACCCTGAGTCTGACCGGTATCGCGCTGAGCACCCTACTGTCACGCGTCTCCTAGCTACTGTTGTCACTGACCCTACCTTTGAGTCCTCGGCTGCGTCTGCTCTGGTCGCTGAGTTGGTTGACTTTGCTGCTGCCTGTCGTCTAGACTACGCCGCTAGCCTTGTTGCTGAGTCTGCGTCTGCGTCTGTCTGTCCTCCGTCCGTCGGGGGTGAGTGTGCTCTTGGCACGGACGTCCTTGAGGACAGGCAGGAGGACTTTGACTCTCTTGCGGCTGCTGTACCTCATCTCGTGGCCTGGTTGCTTGCCCCTGAGGGAGACCCGGATGCACTAGACATCCCCACTCCGCGCACTTACGCAGAGGCGATCTCGGGTCCCTACTCCTCTCAGTGGCAGACAGCCATGGACGCAGAGATGGCATCCTGGAAGTCCACAGGCACCTACGTCGACGAGGTTCCCCCTCCTGGGGCAAACATCGTCGATGGCATGTGGATTTTCAGGGTGAAGCGGCCGCCAGGTTCTCCGCCTGTCTTCAAGGCTCGTTACGTTGCTAGAGGCTTCAGTCAGCGTCAGGGGGTCGACTTCTTCCAGACCTTCTCCCCCACCCCGAAGATGACCACTCTTCGGGTTCTGCTGCACGTTGCTGCTCAGCGTGACTACGAGCTTCACTCTCTTGACTTCAGCACAGCGTTCCTGCAGGGCAGCCTGCACGAGGAGATCTGGCTGCGCCGCCCACCTGGCTTTACTGGGTC